GGGTATCGAGTTATTCTTGGCGCGAGAAACAAAGGCTACTTCCTCGCACACTTTCGTCAAGAACGGATGGGAAGTCTTGCGCTCAGGACATCCCCAATCTAAACACCATGGAGTTGGTTTCTTTGTTTCTCCCAAGCTCCGACCACATGTCACGGACTTTGAGCCCCACTCACCCCGTATCTGTGAGCTCACAATAAATGTTTCCCCACGAAAAATTACTATTTTCAACATAGATGCTCCCAGCCAGTTAGAGGATTCGGATGAGGACTGCCAGCGCAAACTCGACTTTTGGACGGAGCTTAACTCCATCCTAGTAGAGCACCGTAATCTTGAACACACCATTGTAGCAGGGGATTGTAATGCCAGATTGGATGCGGCCTTGGACCCCGTTTATATCGGCCCGCAAGTCGTGGGTACGCGACAGTCTATCCAGGAAGACGACAGAGATAATGCTGTTTTTCTTTATGACACCCTACAGGCCCATAATCTAGTCCTCCCTCAAACTTTTAGTTCTCTCCCTTTTGCAAAGCGTAGTACATTCAAAGAACTTAACTGTGACGATCATTTGCTTCAAGGCACGGATGTGCGCAATTGGACGGCGCTTGACTATGTAGCTGTCCCTGTAACATTACGGCAGAATGTACACTTTGAAGGTTCTATTTTCCAACAACTTATTAACTCTCGCCATTTACCTGTCTCCGTTTATATAAAGACCAGTTTTTTGCCGGTCGCGAAGGATTCCTCTCCTCCAAAACAGGATTATTCTCAGTTGGAGCATTTCTCCTCGCCTCCTTGACGAGACCTCTAATGCTGCGATACTCCCCCATAAACAGATCAGTGTTACGTTGCATACACAGATGGCTCCTGTCCTAGCAATAGAGTTGTGTCTGCAGACAACCCGGCTGGATGGGGATTCGCAATCACGTCGGCCTCAGCTGACCCAGCCCAGCACCACCCTCCTCTTCCACCTGAAAAATGAGTATGGACCAGTGAAGGCCTCGCCTTTGCCCGCCGAAGGCCCCTTGCCTGGCTCCAATAACACAGGCGAACTTAAAGCTCTTATTGAACAATTTGATTATCTTCTGTATTACTCTGAGATTGCCGTTGGCTCCTCGATAGCTATCTATACTGACTCTTCCTATGCGAGGAACCTCATATTAGGTAGCTCCCTTCCCGCTTCTCACCTTCTGCTTGTATCTTTGGCGCAACAGTATTATGCAGCCCTACGCTGCATCTTACATGTGAAGCTCCTTAGTGTTCCTGCCCACGAGGGCATACCTGGAAATGGAATAGCGGATCGTCTCGCCAAACAAGGAGTATACTCCCGATGCTCTGTTGGGAGGTTCTCTTCCTTACCGGCAGCCTCTCTCTCCCCACCGGAGGTCGGTTTTAACGTAGAACAATGGACCTCCAAAACCATAGAATCATAGCAGAGCAGGATTCCAAGCTCACTGAAATCTTAACGGATTCTCTCCCGTTGATACCAGACCTTCCTCTTTCAGCTAAAAAACCGTGGATATCCTGTTCGACCCTTGAGCTTATTGATAAGTTTCAAAAAACGCGGTTTGATGATGTTTCCTCCTTGAAATTAGCCCGAAAGCAAATCAAGACGCGCAAGAAAAGATAAACAACAATTTGTCCCCTCCTGTCTGTGTGAAGACTTTCATGGCTCTAACGTACACCAGTGGAAACATGCTCGCACGATACGTTCTCCTTTCCAACCTAGGGCGGCGGGTCGTTTTAACTTGAAGGACAAATTGGTCTCGAAGACACGGCGACCTGCAACATTTGCGGACTATCTTGCTAATAAACTTTGGTATTCTGAGGTAGACCTTCCTGTCCCGGTTAATTTCCCGAACCCTGTTTGCGACCCCGTAGAAGCTCCCTTCACCATGCAGAACCTCAATTCAGCTCTCCGCAAGTTAAAACCCGGCAAAGCCTCGGGCCCCAATGGCCTGGTTAGTAAGATTTACAAACATGCTCCTTACATACTTAAGAGCTTCATGTTGGAACATTATAACCAATGCCTGGAACAAGCAGTGGTGCCTCACTCGTGGATGATGTTCGAGGTTGTTATGCTCGTCAAAAATCATGCCAAGGATGCATGCTCCCTTTCCAACTATCGCCCCATCTCGCTCACAAACATCTCTGATAAAATCTTTGCCTCTATGTTACAAACTCGCCTTGAATATTACTTGGATGATCGGGTTAGGGATAGACAGTTTGGCTTTCGCAAGCATCGTTCTGCCTGACAGTCAGCCCATTCATGTGTTGCGTCGTTTAGTAGCAATCTATGAGCGACAAACCTCCTCTCTCCATACCCTGTTTCTGGATTGGTCTAAGGCTTTCGACTCAGTTACCTTTACCGCCATTCGCTCTGCCTTTCGTTGTGCGAGATTCTGGTCGTAAATCAGAACAGTTCACGCAAACTGAGGGACTGCGGCAGGGCTGCCCCTTATCCCCTTACCTCTTTCTCTTCTGTGCTGACCCATCTGTTTCATACAGTCGAAGAACGCTATGCTTCACAATATGGGGAAATACCAGGTGTTTTTTTACCTTAGAGTATGCGGATGACACGGTTCTTTTGTCGAACTCAGCTGATCAACTTACTAGGCTCCTCCATCTAGTCCAGGAAGAAGGCAGAATTAGAGGCCTCACCCTCAATGAGGATAAGTGTGAGCATATGTCCCTGAATACGACTCGCCGCATTTACTACCAACCCTCCACGAGTACACCTTGCCCTGCCAGTTCTGCACAGGCGATCAACCGGTGCCCCTGGGTCAGGAGGTGGCGCCTTTGTGGATGACACTTCCGCTAATAAAAAACACTTACGTTATCCGATCTCGCAGGCAGTGGCTCCTTCTTGGAAACTGGGGGTCTCTCAAGCTGTAATACAATCTATTCTCCTCTATGCTATGGAAAGCGCCACTTTGACGCAAGCTCAATTGGTGCACCTTGATTCGATTCATTTTACAAATTTACGCCGAATTTTCAAGATTAAGTCCACTTACTATCACAGAGTCATTGACCCCTCTAACACACTCTGCTCCAATGAATATCTACATGAGTTAGCGTACAAAGCTGGTCGTGTTTTGCCTCCTCCCGTTTGTGTTCTCAGAATCGATTGAAACTCATGGGACACCTTTTACGTCACTCCGATACACTAGAAAGCCAAGTGGTCTTCCCCAGCACACATGCTTACCGGCGTGGCTATGGACGCAATCGATCAGGTCGACCGCGAGTCCATTGGGCGGCCTCGTGCCTCACAGAGGCGTCTCAACGATTACAATATATACAATCGGATCTCCCCCCTCTAATATGGACCTCCACAACAGTCATTTTCGCATACCGAATGTGCAAGAAATTCTTTCGGCGCACGGTAGTACCTCAGTAAAATCAATTCGCATTGAGAGCGTTATTATATATTTTAACTGCTTGTTTTTTGCTTTCCCTTACTGCTCTGAAGCATGTCGGTGCTGACGGCTGCCATACTGCGGCTTTCGCGTTGAAAAGCACACGCATACTTGTGAACAGTCCTGCTTCTTCTTGTCTTCTTGCGTGTGCCTTCGTGAACATGTTTCCAGTCAAACTCTGGACCCCAGGAGAGAGCAGAGGCAGCTCATGGTTCGGCAGGCTTGGTCGGATTATGCTCTCGTGTTTTGGAGAGGGACGATGGTCGACATGTTTCCAGCCCCTTACGGCGTTGGTTTAGGTGCATATTCGGGCGTTGCAGTCCACATGTGTGGAAGAGATTGTTGCTGCAATTATGCTGTTATGCTTGCCCAGGACCTGCCAGCTGAGATGAAACAGGGACAAATTCCATGAACCAGGCGGTCTGTTTGTGGGAATAGTTTACAGGAAGCTCTCCAGCTGTGCTCACATTTTGCCCGAGAGGTTCATATAAAGCCATATGAAGCCATATGAAGGTTGTTCCGGGAATCACCCTCCTCAGGTCCAAGTGAGCGCCCGGCGAAAGTTGGGCAGCAACAAGCCCGCATAGATTCCAAACTACCGCTCAGAGAGCTTCACCTTTTCACCTTATGCCCTGTATCTATCACAACATTTATAGCTTTTTGACCAAAACAGTTATTGTGCGAATGCCATGTCCTTAAAGAAAGGCATATCAACCTGACTAGATTTGTGCTTCCAGCATCGTACTAGAAGCTCTCTATTGCGACAGGAGATGTCTGGCAGTCTGCACCATTGCGGGTGGTGATGAACGTATCCCCAGTCCCACAACCTTGATGCGTCTTTATATGTGCGATCCTCTCACAGATTCGCGGGCATCTCCCACAAAGTGTAAGATCTCTTGGCACTGGGCCGGATGCAATGTGTGGGGGCTTCAGCATGGCTCTACCATGTTTGGTCTTTGGCATCAGAGGAGTTCTGCCCATGCTAGCGGCATGCCAGCTCTCCACCAAGGAGAACTAGGCTACGTTCGTGACCTCCGACCCGCAAGGGTGCAAGAAGTGGTTCCGGTGGCGCAGCTTGTGCTATGTGAAGTCAGGGCCAGAGCCCCACCAGGTTGACCCCAAAAACCAAAGCCCCAAAACATCCCTGTAAGATCCTGACCTCAAACCTTAATGTTCACCCGGAACGCTCAACAACCCTGCAACGCCGTTGGTTTTTGCATCTCTCGCCCTGACAATTAAACCCCATTGTGGATCTCCAAAGATTTTCGAGGGTTGGGTTCTTAAGGGGCTTCCTTAAGAAGTGGCCCGGCTGCCTGGGCCCAAGAGACCGCCTCTGCGTGCTCCGTCCGCCGGCGGCCTCGGCCGTTCAGGCCCGCCCAAACTGAGGGTGCTCGTGTGGGAAACGTTGGTGGGTCTGCGTTTTGCCTTTGTTTGTTTGCTTTTTGTGTTGTCTGTGTGTGTGGTTCGAGAGGGCAGGGTGGCGGGCAAGCGGTGTCTTGGTCAATAAGGCTCAGTTTGTGCATGCACCGCCCCTGAAAAACTCAATCCCAAAAGCTTCTAAGCCTAAGGCCTTACTGTGGCCATCTCATGGACTTGGCCCAGGCAACTCTCCGGCGGCTGGTTTGACATGGCGCAACCCTGGCACGGAGAGGGCAGCCCCCGGTTCAATTTCGGAGTCGAAGGTTCAATTCGGTTGAGGGTTTTTCAGGGTGTTTAGGATTTAGGGCTCAGTTCGGTGTAAACCCCGAAACCAACTTTACTCTGCCAGGTCTTCGGCGGTGGCGGACAGCTTTACCACGCGGGAGGATGCCAAGAAGCAGAAAGCACTCCAGGAGGCAGAGTTTTCCGAGAGGAGCTTCTCTTGAGTTTGGGGTTTTTTCGGGGCTTTTCTGCTTCAAGCGCCAGGCTCGCGCGGCGGGCACGGCTGCCCCTGAGACCGATGAATTTACTGGGAAGATGATCAACCCGCACAACCCGGAGTTCATCACCAAGGTTGTTCATGTCAGACATTTTTCGTACGAGAAACAGGAGCCACTTCTGAATGGGGGGGTCGGGGCCCTGATGCCAGGCACCATGGTACTTGAACCAAGATCGGCCGTCACTGAGACACCACCAAGCCTGGAATGCCAAATCGATGGGCACGAAAGATTGGTATATTCGAGGCTGCTTTGGGCAACATTCGGGTCAAACCTCGAAGACCCCAAAGTATGTTTTGGTGTTGGCCAGGCACCAAGGGTGACGTCAAGACGAAGTTCATCAAAGGAGCATGTGAGAACTGCGGTGCCACAACGCACACGAAAAAGGACTGTCACGCGCTTATTGCCACACGCTAATGTCGGTGGGCGTTGTGCACTTTGGATCCGGTAGCCTCAGCGAGCATGGTAACAAGCCTGCACTAGCGCTTAGTACATGCCGAGCTCCTGGTAGGACTGTGTAGAGAGACCTCGGGCGATCACAGCCAAGCAGAACGGCAAGAACCTCATGCCCGACGAGTACATCACGGAGACACTGCAGTCTTGTGTGATGGTGTGCCGATGCATGCAAGTCTTGTGCCAAACTTTCGCATGTGTGCCCAAAGGAGCTGAACCTTGACTACGACGGCAAGCGCGACCGCTGGAACGGCTTCCAACCGGACGACTATAAGCAAGTCATCGAGGAGAGCCAGTTGGGGATGTTGGGGGGTTCGAGTATCTTCGAGTTGAATGAGTTGAAAGGGGTTCAACGTAACGGGTTCACGAAAGCCCTGAAGACTACACCTCCCTCAAGGAGTGGGAGCGGGTCGAAGCCGAGCGAAGACGCGTGAAAGCCGCCGAGATGGAAGAGCGTGCAAAGCTGAAAGAGCACCACGGCCTTCACGCTTCGAGAGCAGAGGGTTGAGGTGGTTTTCAACCTCGGTCCATGTTCGATATTGTTCGATCTCATGAGGCTTCGAAATCTTCAAAAGTCGAGTCTATTGTACGTGGGCCTGGGATCCAATGCTAAAGCATTGCAGGAGATTTTCTCAACGTTACCAATATATTCAGCCTTTTCTGAAGTTGGGGACACTTTCAAAGCCAGACAGTATGAGGTTTGTCTGGTGGCCTCTGACAGAGACATATCGATTCCGAGGAGGGAGCGCAGAGAGCGCTCTCTCTCCCTCTTCCTCTGCCTCTCTTGTGGTCTCTTTCTCCTCCTTTCGGGCCCGGACCTAGAAACCTGTCTCTGCGCAGCCTCTGAGAACCCTCTCAATAAACCCGAGTTCGTGGGTTTCAGAAACCCAGGCGGCTTAAAGCTCAAAAGAAGCTGCTGAAGAAGAAGCGCAAGCAGCGACGGCGACAGCTGCGCCGACAGGTCGGAGGCTTAGGGATATTTCGGGTTTCAGGGTTTCGGTGAGGAGGTCATGAGATTGTCAGGCTTTACCTTTTTCGCCCCCATCATTGGGTCATTTTGTTTCGGCTTAGGCTCCAACAGGCTCAACCTGCAACCCTCAACCTCCTCAACCGCCTCAACCGCCTCAACCGCCTCAACCGCCCAAACCCCAATTCCAGAGAATGAGGCTGAAGGAAGAGACGATGATGACACCGACACTGGAGACTCCGCCCGGGCCTTGGCTTGACATTCTTCCGTCGCCCGGGTGCAGAGCACTAGGGCACCAGGGCTTTCAGGGTGACTTTAGGGGGGACTTCAGGGACTTCAGCGATTGAGGGTTTCCAGGGTGCGTTCCATGCGGCAGCCCCTTTGCATAGACACAGACATGAGGTAACTACCCCCTTAACATCCTCTGCACATAGCCTGTTTGAAACCTGATTTGAAATGGAGACTCTATCTGTGTACAGTGTAATTATGCCCGGTGTTTACAAACAGGTCTGGCTCTCTCTGCCAGCTTATTTTCGATCTTAAGTTCTGTGTTGGCTCTATGATACATTGTGATACTATGGCAGGCCCTATGGCCTTGTTTGGTCGCGTCTTCTCTGTTGGCGTGTTCAGGACACAGGAGACTCCGACACGGACACCGATACAGACAGCGATAGCGAGGCATCCGACGACGAGGCCGCTTTCGGATTTGAAGACTTGTTTTACTTCACCCGGGGCTGGATCCTTCCTCAAACCCACATTGCTCCCTTAAGGAGGGTTGTTGTCGTGAAGCCGCTAGGTTCCCGGATCCGTTGGGGACCGCTCCAGGCTTCTTGACATGTCGATGCGCCGACGCGCGCAGGACTTGGGCGAGAAGCTCAAGGACTTCGACAAGTCGACTTCTACTGTGGCTGCGAAAGATGACAAGCTGCGCACTACAACCAGGAGATATTGGAAGAACAGCAAACCTGTGCCAGTTAGGCATGTCACGTCGGCACCTCTTGCACAGTTCACAGCTCTTCAGTTCACAATCCTGGAACGAAGGGGCATCCCTGCAAAACGCGTGGCCACAGCTGTTGCCCTGCGGTTGCTAGGCTCATGAAGGGTCAAGGCAAGTCGTAGAATCAAGCTCCAGGGCCTAGCGCTAAGCATTTGAAGACGCCACAGACTGGCACTGGAAGTGCGCAGGAACCTGCGAATCCGTGAAGACACTGCGAAGTACCTGTTGAATTTGGACGTGAACTCGGCCTACTACGATCCGAAATCCAGGCAGCTGTGGGGCATGGCCCCGAAGCCCCGAATGCCCCAGCAACTTGCAAGGGCTTGTGATGCCTCCTTCTCTACTACGAACCTCCCCGAGGGCGGCCTGAAGTTACCTGTGCCTGTCGCGGAGGTCCATGCGGCAAGATCCGCTCGCTCACCTCAAGGATCCGGGGGTCCTAAACAGAGCCGAAGGTTTCTGAGGAGTTGGTAAACGGTTTGGGGTGATGTTTGGGGTTCAGGCTGGGCTCCCCGTTTCCTTGTAACCCAAGTGAAAATAAATCCCGTGCGTGCGCTTCGCTCAGTTGTACACAGGTTTAGTATGAGACTAAGGGCCCATTATGAAGATATTCTTTAGGGGCCCTTTGCTGCTGTACGCAATAATGCTAATTCTGCTAATTCACCCGTCTTCGCCTGTAGTTGATATATTCTTGCTCACTTTATTCATTAGGACTTCTGTGGCGCTTGCAATTAGCTTGGAAAGAGATGTTGCGTTCACACCTTGCGCATTAGGTTTACTTCATTCGGTTCATTTGAATTAAAATATTGTGCCGTCTTATTGATTGCATTTTTTCTGGGCCCAAAGATCTTTATTAGCGGCCCGCGATAGTACTGTTTCAGTAGACGCAGCGCAAGTAAAGTGAAAGAGCACGGCACGAATCGTATTGTGTTGAGGGGCATTGATCCTCTATTTTTCGCCGCAGCTATGAATGAAAGTACTAATAGCCTAATAGAGTGAACGGAAGGCTAGAGAAAATGCGCTTACTTTCATCAGGGCTTTTAGTGAACGCACTGAGCCCCTATTAAGCCTAACTGCCAGAAAGGACGAGGAGAAGGGAACGGCCTTCCGAGGGGATAACTTCCTCAGGCGTCGGGCGCGCTTGTGAAAGTTGGTACTTAACGAGGGTTTGGGACTCGGTTGAGGCCACTAAACAGTAATAAGACACACTGGTCTCTTGCAAAAAGGCTTCCCAAATCGTAGAGCATCTCTCATTTCATGACTTGGTAGGCTGATGGGGCTTGGATTGAGGGCTCACAAAGTGAGTGGGTGGCTTATCTCATTCGCGAGTCAAAGACGTTTGCGAGTGAAACGAGCATGCCGGAAGTTTGGGGGTGGCTGCAGAGGCTGGTGCTTCTGAAAGGTTGTGTGACATCCATAAAGCTCCCTGCTTCAGGCAATCAGGGGATTCCAAAGCCCTGACGGAGCTCATGTGCTTCGCGTGGGACTCCTACAAGCATGGTCGCCCCGCCCTCGTTTGGGGAGGCTCTCAGGCTGTTGGTGTCTGGCTTTTTTTAAGCTTTCTGGAAAGTCCGGCGCAAAGTCTTATAGCTAGTAATGCTGCAGCGTGTCAACTTCAAGTGTGCCCTACTCAGTATGGCAGGAGAGAAGATCCATGATACTGCGCAGCCGACCCAAGCACTGAAGATGTTTGAGGCCAGAAAGCTGTTAGCAGTACCGGGCCCTGCCTCAGACTCAAACTTGAATCGGCAAACCCAATTGTGCTGATGAAGCTCGTTTGCGACCGCATCGTCAAAATACGATGTGGCAGCTTTATTCGGGGAGCCTTGAGTAGCCCCGCACTGCTCATCCTTTTGGCAAGGAGCACTCCCTGAAGAGAAATGATCAATGACGCGTAAGCCCCAAGGCTGAGCAGTGCTCAAAGTGTGTGGACTACTTGCTCTTGAATCAACCTGCATCCACCACTGCCGGTACGTGGGGCGAACCTGGGCTGGGGCAGCAACCAAGCAACACGCAAGGTGTGTGAGTTGAACTCCGCAGTGCCGACCGGATTGACATTGAGACACTCGACTTTGGCTCAAAGGCACCGATGAGCAAGAAGATCTCCTCGCTAAACCCAGCTAATGATGCTCATGATGCTTGCCCCCTTTCGGGCCTCCTTCACATGTGCTTGCTACATTCCTGTCTTCGAAGCGAAAGTCTGCTGATGTCTGCCGATGTCCGGGGGCTTGCGGACCGGGTCGGGAACAGTAAGCTCTCAGGATGGGGGGGGGGAAGTTCGGGGGAAGGGTAGGAAGGGTAGGAAGGGGGAGGATAAGGCAGACGGGGTGTAGGCTTCAGCGCTGGGGGAGAGCCGAGCACCCAGTTCTCTGCCCCTCTGCAGGTTTACAAGAACCGGGCTACGAATCTGAAAGAGCAGCAGCAGAAGGAGCTCATGGACAAGTGCCCGCTTGGTTTTGAAAATGCTGAGTGGCAGCAGTAGAAACGGATTGCAGAGTCTTTCGTAGAAAGCTTCGAGCAAAGCAAGACAGAAGGAGCTAGTGTTGTATCCTGATTTGTGTGTTCCCCCCCCGGAATTGTGAAAAGAAATCCAAAAATTATTCAGGGGGATCTATTTGAGGAGGTCCCCCGGAATTGTGAAAAAAACTCGGGCGATGCAAAATTTCGGCGAGGCTGTTGAATGGCGTTGTTGTCTAGATATCGCTTCTGAACTGAGCCTGCGAGACCAAAGATCAAAGGCTTAAAGCCTGAAACCTTGAGGCCTGAGGTTGTCGGGCCCCCCTGAAATCTTCAGTCTCCAAGCCAGCCCCAAAACTAAGATTTCCTTATTAAATTCTTTTGTACCGAGGCCGGGCAATCAAATTTCCAAGGGGGTAGTACAGCAGCTGCCCGAATGCCGTATAATGTAAAAAGTTTGCTCCCCCGAATTATCTTTTTTGCGGGCTAGTTGGGTTTGGATCCAAAGGCCTAGGGGCTGAGGCTTCCTAAACCTTGAGGCCTGAGGTTGTCGGGCCCTGAAATCTTCAGTCTCCAGGCCAGCCCCAAAGCTAAGATTTCCTTATTAAATGCTTTTGTACCGAGGCCAGGCAATCAAATTTCAAAGGGGGTAGGTAGTCCAACAGCTGCCCGAATGCCGTATAATATAAAACGTTTGGTCCAAAATTTTCTTGCGGGCTGGCTTGGTTGGGATAGATGGATCCCCTTTAAATTCATATAAACTTATCCCCTTTAAAATCATGTGGACCCCTTTTGACATCATATAACCTCATCCCCTTAAAATCGCATGGATCCTTTTTAAGTTCATACAGTCTCACCCCTTCTAAAATCATATGGATCCCTTCTAAATTCCTACGAGCTCATCCCTCTTAAAATCATATGGATCCCTTGTACAATCATATAAACTCATCCCTTTTAACATCATATGAAGCCAGACCCCCCCCCCCCCCCCCCCCCCACACTAGAGAGCGGAGTCCATTTGTTGAGGGGGGGGGGGGCACACTAATCAGCAGGCAACATTAATGGTGTATGATCGGACGAAAGCTTAATGACACACCTGCGTAGATGCAGACCGAATGTCCCGCTTTTGCCTTTTCGGGCTGGTGAGAGGTCTGGCTGAAGCGTTTGTATATCCGCAAAATTTTGCAACCGTCGCATCCTCGGTCGTAGCCCAAGAAGCCAGCGTCCTAAGCCCAAAGCCACGCCAGGTACGGTGGCCAGGAGCACATGGAAGCTCCCCGGGAGCTCATATTCTCTCAGAACGAGAACTACGTGGAGTGCGCTGATCATGTCATCCGAGGTGTTTCAGAAGCCGTTCCAGGTCAGTTGTTGTGATTCTAGCTTGCACTTCTGTTGCTGCTGCGATAGGCGCAAGAGCTGCAATAGCAGCTGCAATAGCAGCTGCAATAGCAGCTGCAATAGCTGGAATTGCCGCAATAACGGCCACCACAACAACAACAGCAGCAGCAACAACAACAACAACAACAACAACAACGACAACGACAACGACAACGACAACGACAACGACAACGACAACGACAACGACAACGACAACGACAACGACAACGACAACCGCAACGACAACAACAACAACAGCAGCAGCAGCAGCAACAACAACAACAACAACTACAACAACAACAACAACAACAACAACAACAACTGCGGGAGCTGCTGCTGCTGCTGCTGCTGCTGCTGCTGCTGCTGCTGCTGCTGCTGCTGCTGCTGCTGCTTTGGTATCAGCCATGCTTTTCACAATGTCAGTGACCATGACAGCTTAACACAGACTCATTCACCCATTCTTCAGAGTGGCAGGTACTCACGTGATGGACGTGTGTTGAAGGGCCAGGAGCGGGCCTTGACCAAGTCCAAGTACGAAGAGGACGTCCTTGTAGGCCCGAGCCCGTAGAACTCTTGAGTTTGGAGCGGGGCTACAGCGATCTGCAGCATACTGTTTTTAGGCTTATGGGTATCCGTCATGTGTTCAGAATGCAGAAGCTCAAGGCAGTCTTGTAGCCCTTGTTTTTACGGGCCCTACTAAGCCTTACGACTCCGAATGTAAACTTGTAAGCCTGTCCCAAGTGAAAGTGTGACGCCAAGGCAACCACTCGTCGGTTTGGGGCTCATGGTTTGATGCAGCCACTGGAAGGCGGGCTTGGCAATTGAGTGCTCGTTGGTTTCGGGTTCGCTGATCAGGCAGGCAAAGGTTTTGCATGGAATGCCGAGTGCTTATAGATCGGGGTGAGCTTCTGCCCGCATGAGGTGGGGCTTTGCCTGCTGCCATCAGCTCATGAAGAACTCCTACTGCGTGCCCATCAAGAAAAGCGATGTCGAGGTTCCATGGCAAGCTGATGTTCTGCCAATGTTGCGGCGAGTGGTGTTATGGCACCACCGGTAGAAGAAACGATAACTGAAGTGGTAGTGGTGTCGTGGTGGTGGTGGTGGTGGTGGTGGTGGTGGTGGTGGTGGTGGTGGTAGTGTTAGTGGTGGTGGTGGTGGTGGTGGTGGTGGTGGTGGTGGTGGTGGTGGTAATTCGTCGTCGTCGTCGTCGTCGTCGTCGTCGTCGTCGTCCTCGTCGTCCTCCTCGTCGTCCTCGTCGTCGTCCTCGTCGTCGTCCTCGTCGTCGTCCTCGTCGTCGTCGTCGTCGTCCTCGTCGTCGTCGTCGTCCTCGTCCTCGTCCTCCTCGTCGTCATCCTCCTCGTCCTCGTCGTCCTCGTCGTCCTCGTCGTCCTCGTCGTCCTCGTCGTCCTCGTCGTCCTCGTCGTCCTCGTCCTCGTCGTCGTCCTCGTCCTCGTCGTCCTCGTCCTCGTCGTCGTCCTCGTCCTCGTCGTCCTCGTCCTCGTCGTCGTCGTCGTCGTCGTCGTCGTCGTCGTCGTCGTCGTCGTCGGCGTCGGCGTCGGCGTCGGCGTCGGCGTCGGCGTCGGCGTCGGCGTCGGCGTCGGCGTCGGCGTCGGCGTCGGCGTCGGCGTCGGCGTCGGCTGCTGTTTGTGGTGGTCGATGCTAGAGAGCAGTTGCAGTTGCAGGCTCAGGCCATTGAGGGCGAAGCCGAAGCAGCCGAAGAGGCTGTCCCGGCCCTGGACGACGGAGGCTTGGCAAGAGTAGGACTGCAACAGCGATGTTTGACCAGTTTGAGTCTGGATTGAAGACTGCAATTTGACATGTTCACTCTGCGACTCTGCCAGCTGGCGTGGGCCTTGACCTTGCGGGAGACTCTCCGGCGGCGGGCAGCAGGGAGGCTTCCAAGCTTAGCGAGAAGAGGCACCTGCCCCGTTGATTGCCGGGCTCCTGAATCGGAAGCCCATGACTCCTGTTGACAAAGCGGGTTTTCATCCCCGAAAAAAAATCACCAAATGCTGACTTCAGGGCTTGGGCTTTGAGAGAAGTCGGGAGAGGGTGAGCCTCCATTATGCCAGGACATCCGCTTTCGGGCACGTCCTCGAGGCTGTGATTGAGGGTTTCTATGCCTTTGGGGGTTTTGGGAGTTGAGAGGTTCTTGGAGAAGGGAGGTTTCAGAGAGATCGCCAGTGTCCCAGGCTGGGGGCTGCTTGGCTTCTAGTAGTGGGATCATGGAAGAAGTGGAAATGACCATCGCCAGCTTGGATGGCTTGGGGCAACAGGCCAAGTGCTTGAAAGGGTTATGATCATCTGCGAGAGGTGGAGTCATCTGCCTTCCTGAGCCCCAAGCTCGCCGCCCAACCCCCAAGACCCTTCAACACGCCTTCAACACGGCTTCAACAGGAAGTGGAGGACTTGGATTCCGGCCGACTCGCTGAGGCAGTGGAGGCGGCGAAGAAGAAGCAGCCCCTTGGGGCCAAGACACGGGATTTTAGGGTTTAGGTTTAGAAGCTCAGGAGGTGTTCAACAAGTTTAGAGTTTAAAGGGTCCAGCGGTGCCAAGGAAGCTGGAAAGGAAGGAGGCACGGGACGCCGGCACCTTGGAACTAGGAAGGAAGAGTGAAGGGGAGAAGCTGCTTTCTTGGACACCAACGGTCCATTCCCCAGCATTTTCCCTTGCCTCTTGCAGGGCAAGAGGGGCCTGACGTTGGATGATGTCCCGCTCTGAGTGCTGGGAGCAGGGGATGGGGAGAGCCTCAGGAGTCTTCGAGTCTTCAGGAGCCTTGGGCTCAGCCTTCTGCCAAGGAGCGAAATCGCGGGTACAATGCAGTCACCGGCGAGGGCCTCAACGACGAGATCAGCCCGGAGGAGTACGAGGCCAGCCCGAAGACTATGGGATGCCGATAGCGGTTCCATGGTCAGGATAGTGTGGTTCCAGGTCCCAGAGATCTCTCTGAGTTAAGCAATGAGGCCTATCGACTGACGCGACAGCGCGCCGACGATCCCATGGCACAGTTCATGTGAGAGCCCACAGCACTCCCCAAAACTGCACAAGGCCTCAGCTGATCTCAGCACACGAATCTCAGCACGAATCTCAGCACCCCGAAAACTTGTGGAGCATTCCGATGCTTGGGGACAGTTGAATCCCCGTGTTAATGAAGAGACTCCGGACGGGTGCTGCCCAAACAGGCAGCCACAGTTCACCGCTGACGTGTGGAGTGTTGTGATTTCCGTGGCAAAGAAGCCGGTTCGTTGCAGTCGCGTGCGCACAGGCAAAGGTGGATCCTAGCAGACATTGCTCGCACTCTGGCTCAAGGGCCTTGGCCCATAAAGCAGGCTTTCCATATGTCCCTGTGGGGCCCATGATTCCATCTGCCCTCTGGATCCTCTTGCTTTACGTTCGCCTCGCACCGGCCTTGCATAACCGCAGTGAGAGGATCAGCGTTGTCCTGAGCCACGATGCGACTTTTAAGACTGCAGCACCGGTGCGGTCGCTGTGGTCGGACAATGTTTCGAGGCTAATCAGGCGCCAGAGTGGCGCACACAACGTGGAACCCGGCACACCGGCCTTGCCTGAAGGCGCTGTGGCCTTTGTGGGCACATTGGGCACTGTGGCCAATACAAGCACCGTGCCTGAGAAAGGATCCGCCCGCGGAGAGGTTGGAGAGGTGGTCTTTGCCGTCCGCCTGCGGAAGCTGGGCTTGACATCCATTGCTGGGATCGTCGGTGCCTACTGGGTGACCGTTTTCAGGGAGACTTCCAAGGAGAGTCCTGGGGAAGACAGGAGCCTTTTGTCTGCAGCGCCCCAAGCACTGCCGTGGATGGTGCTGTCCTTGATCCTCTCCATCTTCAACAAGTGGATCTTCATTCCGCATCTGGGCCGCACGCAGCAGAGTTGGCAGATGGAGACCAGCTTTGATGAAGTTCAACGCCAGTTTTTCCTTCTGTGGCATGTCCAGGTCGGGGGCCGACTTCCCCTATCCGCTCACACTTTCCTGTTGCTGGTCCAAAGTTCGTCCAAAGTTCTGGGACGTGTAGACTGCGTGTTGGGAGGTTTTTTGCATGGAGCTTCCGAAATAGCTGGAGAGTCGCGGTGCAGGGCCTCTTGCTGACAGGTTGCCACATGTTCACCACGAGCCTCGTACTTCACAGCCTGCGCCTCTTCAAGCCGAGCCTTTTCCCGGGTCTGCGCGAAGGCCTTTTCTGCATCGTAATCTGGCTTGAGGTGTGCGAGCCGTAGCAGAGTTGAGGGTACCAAGAAGGGCGCAGGTTGTAGAAGCACTGATCGAACTCCGAACACTCTAGGTGTTGTTGGTCGAGTTTAAGCCCTGGAGTTGATAGGAGCAGAGTTGCAGCGTGTGAACGCAAGACATGAAAACCCTGACGCCCTGAACCATCTGCCAAAGCCACAAACCTGAACTTGCACAAATCTAAGCTGGTTCATATGATTCACGACCTCGAGTCCGCAGTACCGCAAACCTGAACTTGGGGATTCTCTCAGCAATGTTCCCAAACCCAGGGTTTCCATAGTGTTTCCATGTTGTCCTAAGACCAATAAGACTTAAAGACGGCAAAAACATGCAAAAACTATCCTCAAAACCTCAAAGCAACAAAACAACAGTTCCCCTCAGAGGACTTCGCAGTGATTGGGAGACGTTTCGCGCCGTGCTCCTTGTAGGCGCCCCTGAAGCGGTGGGGGCCGAGGGGTTGCTCCATGTTGCTTCATTTTCTTCTACTCGGTGAGGTGGCCTGCTGGCCGTGTCGGTGGTGCTGTCCAACTCGGCCGCCATGCTTCTGTCGGTGGCCTTCATCAACATGCTCAAGGGTGGGACCGGACTGCGCGATGGTGGTGGTGGTGGTGGTGGTGGTGGTGGTGGTGGTGGTTGTTGGTGGTGGTTGGTGGTGGTTGGTGGTGGTTGGTCTTGGTTGTTGGTGGTGGTATTCTTTTCTTTTTTTGGCAGCTTATTCCTCACCCTCGGTGTGGGTTTGTTAGAATTTCTGTCAACCATGCTCTCTCCCAAAGAAGCCCTCACAGAGTCCCGCAGAGCATGGAGTGCCACTTTCAGAGAAGCCGAGAGTTCCGGGTAGCCGTGGAGTGCAAGAGTCCCGCCGAGGATCCCTGGAGTGTCCCTGAATTTGCCCACCCCAACAGAAGTTCGCAAGAGTCCCGCGCTGAGTGTCCAGGAGTGCCCGCCGAGAATTCTGTGGAGAGACCCGCGGCAGAAGCCGCAGTCTGAAAACGGCAGGATGGCTCCCACATCTGATTGTTTGTATCGTATTGGTGTCACACTATATCAAACTTTTGGTGGATACTTCTTTTGTTTTTGTAGTTTCATGGTTTGTTCCTCAAGCTCTAAACGCCTAACCAAAACAGCCCACTGCCAGATACCTATCGTGTTTTTCGTTTGCACGCTTGCGCATGTCGCTTTGGCAGTGGACCCGTCCCTCACGTGGGCAGTTCAAGCGGTGCACCTCCAAGTTTCCAGTCCGGACTCGGGTGGCAGTTGCGGAAAGAGACCGCGGGTCGAGGAAAAAGACCCCGAGAAACAGCCGACCCACAAACCGAAACCTTGAACCCGCAGCGTAGGCGAGCTTAGGGAACGTACAGGCTTGCTGTAGGACACCCATGAAGCTTTTTTGCCTTGATTGGCAGTCAAGGCTTGCAGTCTCAGCAGGCTTTGCCACACTTTCAGTGTGCTTGTTGGACGTGCCTTGTGTGCTTGTTGCCAAGTGCAGCTTGGGTAGAGTGGCCGGAGCTGCAAAGAGAGGCCCCCACCCGTTTAGGGCTCGTAGATGAACGTGGTGTTCGGGAAGCCCAGATCTTGGTCTGCTCGTTCTGTTTCAACCTATTTCAGCGCAAGTTTTAACGTATTAGTTACAAGAGTCCGCGTGGGAATTTCAGCTCATGACCACCTTGAAATTGTCAGAATGTGTCCCCACAGGTGGAAACTCGCTGTTCGCCCTCGCTCTCGGCCTCGCCGTGGGCACGTGGCTCGTCAAAAGCTGAGCTCCCGGCTAGTCGCTGCCTTCAAAGAACCTGGCCAGTGGTGGCCCTCAATTCTATGCTGGAGCGCCCTACACAAGCAAGCCTTCGCCCACATAGTGGGGACATTTAGGTAGTTGGAGTCGTGCGTGCGCAACCCCACTCTGCACCGCAGCACATCTGAGACCTCAGGACCCAGTGGCCCACAGCTCTCCAGCTGATGTGGCCGGTGCTGATCATATCTGCGGGCGTGTGAGCCCCATTCGGTAAGCTGCGAATCCGTTGTGGAAGAGACCGCCTTGACCAGCGAGGCGGCAGCCACCATCCATGGCGAGCTCTACCTCAGCCACGTCGGCGGGCGCCTCAGTAAGCAGAGCCACAACTTGCCAGCATGTTGTTGAGGGCTAGAGTCCGGAGCTTTAGGGCTTGGGGTTAGGATGGCTTAGGATGGTTTAGGGTTGGACTTCTGCACGAGGCTGCAGTTAGCAGCTAATCATGGGCTAGCAGATTTGAATGTGTAGGTGCAGTAGTCTGTGCAACATGTGGATGCCATCTCTTTGTTGGACACAGCTAATCCCTCAGTACGTATGGGGTTGATCAAATTCATGGGCCTTTGTTGGGTTTGCCATGGTATGTTCCTTACAGTTCAGGGCAGCCAACAAAAGTTCATCACGCAGATCAGGTCCCCCGTCGACACCTCCCCCCCCAACAATATTTGAGTGTGGAAGGCCTTCTGCTGCTGGTGGTGGCCATCTTGGTGGAACAGCTGCGTGTCACAGATCAGGGTTGCGGGAGCCTGCTGTGTAAGCGGAGCCCGATATGAAGGCTGTAGCCGAACAACTGGGAACATCCGACTAAGTCTGGCGAACATCTAGCCAAAATCTGTTCAGGTTCCGATTGGTCCTCTTCAAGTCCATGATGTCTGAAACTGGTTTGAAGCTGGATCCGCTCTCGGCTCCCACGTTGCACCAAGGGGTGCCGGGTTCACCTAAGCTGCAGTTTCTCTTCGGATTGTCGCTCAGGCTCTGTCTCTCTTCGCACCAGTGGCCTTCCTTGTCGCTGCACCCTTCGCACTGGGAGAGCTGCGTGCGGCAGTGCACGTTCTCGATCCCATGCGAGGCGAGGCGGTGACTTAGAACTTTGAACTGCGTGGAGGGTCTTTCAAAGGTTTTTTTGGAGTCCGGGGAACTGTGGGCGTGCACTTTTTTCTAGTTTTCCTCTCTCGTACTTGATAACTATCGTTCAATCTTCAGGTGGTGATCTCTCTCATCTTAATTATGAAATTGCCTTTTCATTACTAGGCAAAAATATTGCTCAACCATGCAATACTCATTACATGCTGATTCTACCAATCTAGCAGTCAGCGAATATTCATTTATTGGGTGAGTACAAGATTTATTGAATGTACACAGAATATGACATAATGCTCAGTAAATGGTACTTGACTACAGAAAACTAACTCACTTATGTACTAATGAAATACCATTTATATACTATTTGCTTAGACAAGTACAATTTACACAGAAAAGCCTTGAAAAGCACGAATTTCTAAGAATCGTATCATCTACCCAGTAAAGGCTCTAGTACTGAGCATGGGAATGCGGGGTTTGGGGGCAGAACCAATGCTCAAACGCTCTGAATATGAAACTAACCTATTCATGTGCCCACTAAATACAGTACTCTTTATATACGATGCCCAGACAAGTACAATTTGCACAGAAAAGCATAGAAAAGCACAATTTTCTTAGAGGGAAGGGGGGGGCTCAGGAAGGAAAGGCAGTACAGAAAAGCACAAAAAACCACAAACGCACAACAACACACAAAAAGCTACACGAAAAGCCAAAATTCGCAACAAGAACATACGAGCCAAACAAATGTATTTCAGGATTCTCCACAATATTCTCACGGAAAACAAACAAAAACAATATTCCAGGACTCTCCACCAAATCTGTACGGAAAACTCAGAAAACCAAAAAAACCAAAAAACAACCAAAAAACAACCAAAAAACAAGCAAAAAAACAAAAAAAGACAAAAAAAAACAAAATAAGCAAAAAACAAGCCAACACAAAAACCCCCCCAAAAAAATACAATAATTTTCAGGGACTCTTTGAAATTAGGCCATCTGGTGGAAGAGTCCTGAAGTATTGTTTTTTTGTGTTGTTTTTGGTTCTTTTGTTTTTTGGTTGATTTGTTTTTTGTTGGTTTAGCTGTTTTTTTTTGTTTTTTGTTTTCCGTACGGATTTTCCGTACGGTTTTGGTGGAGAGTCCTGAAATATTGTTGTTGTTTAGTTTTTTTGGTTATCCGTGGGACTGGAGAGTCTAGAAATGTTGTTGTTGTTGTTGTTGCTGCTGGGTTTTTTAGTTCTTCAACAGCGACAAACGGCAGAGAAAGTGCACGCCCACAGTCCCCCGTTTTGTTGTTTTCAGGGCACGTCCGAGCAGTTCAGCCCAATCATGGCAATGGAAAACAATTGGGTTTCCTTCTCCTCCTGACTTGCGTTCAGAGGCAGCGCTCTGATTCTGAATGCGCTCACCGCAGCTGCTTGGGAGCACGAAGAGGGGATAAACGTGGATAAGAGCGCAAGGGCTTGGGCTCGTTCTGGTACCGTGACTTATGGCTTGATATTGTAGACCTGAAGCACCTCTCTTGGGCTTCTAGGATGGCCATGATCCACCCCTTCAGACCAGGTGACCCTCAACGTGGCCTATTCCAGATTGTTGAAGGTGGCCAGTCCGGTGACCTTCACCGTCTTCGGCACTGCCAAGGCATCCGGCACACAAAGATAAGGGTTCAGAACAAGGTCTGGTGTTTTCAGTAGCCCAAGCCAGGATTCGTGAACTTTCAACGGGCATGTGGGAACTCTGAGTGCTTTTGCTAGGTGCGTGTTTGTTGTTTTGTAGCTCAAAGCGCCCCTCAAGAAACAGCAGCCCTTCTAGCAGTTTACTTGGCTTGCAGAGGATTCATTGGATAGCAGCTTCCTCGCCCAACCTCCCAGAGGGCAATCTGTCACAACCAGGATGTTGCAACTGCCGGGCTCTCGCTGTGCATCGTGGGCGGCGTTGTCACCCCCTTGCAGCTTTGCGGCTATGGCGCCACGTTGCGACAAGGATGAAGCAGCACAACTTTCAACTCGATCCGTGAGGCTCTTAAGAAACCCTCTCAGCTCAAAAACAGACAAACCAAAGCCTTGGCTCTGGACCCGGCAGTTGCCGTGGGGCTGTTATGCTAGGCTGCTAGGCCTAAGGGGGGTCGTAAGGGCGGGTGATGGCGGGTGGTTTGCCCCGTGGCTGAAGGTTCGGCATGCTGCAGTATGATCGGACGAAGCGGCAACAAGCGGGCGCTCAGTGACGGGCCCTTGACCCCATGAACCCCCTAAGCATCCCGAAGCCCGTGGACCCTGAGCATCCCTAACGCATCCTTCAAAGGCTAAACTCTCAATGTCGTTGCAGTCCTGCTGCAGCTGCTGATGCTGCCGCTGATGCTGCCGCTGATGCTACTGACGCTGCTGCCGATCCCGCTGCTCGGGGTCCATTTCACCGCTCAAGCTTCTTTGCCCTCGGATGACCTCATCGGCAAAAAGGCCTTCCATCTCTGCTTCTACTTAGATGTGGACTGCTGCTCCGCCTAAGCCTTCGCATGGACATGGTGACAGGCTCTCTTTTGTCGCCGTTTGTCGCATTTCAAGCGTTGAACTCGAAGCAGATGAAGATCGGATGCCATAGGGTTGCAGTGCCCTCGAAGTAGAACCATAAGTGAACCTATTTGGGCAAGAGAGGCGAAGCAAGGAATGCCTCGTTTCCGACTGGAAGTTTTTACGTGTGACAGTTTGGGTTTGTTTGGAGTCGCACGCTCAGGATGCAGGTGTCTGAGGGTGTCTGAGGGTGCGATCATTTCGACATCATCGACGGACTTGTAGCAGTGGGCGCAGCAATGCAGTCCCTGGATCCGTGCGATGTGGATGAGGTTAGGGTTTGGGGGGAGCTTCGGGGCACAAGGCATGCTGCAGCCTCTTGAGCCATCGGGTGCTCCGTGTTGTGTTGTGGCTGTGTCTCTCCCGCGAGTTCTATAAGTAAGGTTTCTATGTATTCTTTGTACAAGACTCGAGCCAGGTGCAAATGTGCTATGCACGCGATGCGCCTGGGGGCTCGGGCGCAGTGAAGGGGAATGCCAGAGATGCCGGGGGAAAAGCACCCACAACTTCAGGGTTTGGGAGGCGGGTTTGGGGCCTCAAGCCTCCAAACCAGCAAAGCTCAAGAGTAGGACCTTTCCCCAGATCCCGAATGCGAGGCTGCTTCACATGCGCTCGCGTTCTGCTCCGTTCCGCCGGCAAAGTAGGGGAAGCTTTGTGGGGGTGGTTCTTCGACAAACCTCCCAAATGGGTGTTTCAGGCTGTTAGGAGACACGGGTGTCTTTGGGTCCCAGGAGCTTGGCCTGGACCAGCAGGGCCAGTCGGTTTTGGAATGGGGGTTCAGGGATGTTCGGGGTGTAGGGTTCGGGGTGTCTGGGGTTGAGGGTTCTGGGGTGTTTCCACACCTGAACTTCCTAAACCCAAAACAACCACCGCCGGAGCACGTGCTTTGAGACCATGCAGGCCCTTGCAACGGAAGCCTTCGAAGCTGCCCAAGCTTCATCCCTCCCCCAACCCCATCCTCCCCTCCAGCAAAGCCACAATCCCTTGTGCCAGGTTGGCGGGCATGGCACCGCTGAAGATGCTGCACTGGGCCGGGCTGAGGGTTTTTGTGTGGTTTTGGGTGGAGTTTGGGCGCTTCAGGAGCTTTGAGTCTGAGGGACTTGGGCAGTGACCAACTGAAACACAAACTTCCCATCAGGCTAGCAAGGTTCACTAACCCCCAAGCCCTGCCATCAAAACCATCAGAAGCCCAACAAGCCCCTTGAAGTCCCAGATCATGTCCTAAAGCATCTCAAAGCCCCCCCCCCCTCCCCCACCCGAAAGGCATCCGATCGGCTTGGCTCTTAGCCTTCCTGCATAATTTTAGCGGCTTTTTCGGGATTTCCTGTGTATAGGAAAATATAAAGGCTCGGAGGGCCTTCTCAGACAGCATTTCAGGGTGTAATGGTTCAGTGGTTTCAGGTTTTGAAGGTGCCCCCTCTGAAGTGCCCAGCAAGCTTGTGGAATCATCCGATGGTTGTCAACATCGCTGTAGAATCCTCTCCTCAACCCTCTGAACTTCGGAGCTTTGTCTTCTGTCAGCCTTCCCGTCCTGTGGTTCCGTGTTCTGTAGGGGGTTGCGGCACACCACATGTCGGAGTCCGAATTTTTACGAGTCTACTTTGGAATATGGGGAGGCCCTATGTTGACAGGGACCAAGGAAGGGACCATAACTTGGAGGACCCTTAGAATCTTACGTGGAGCTGCACTGTGAGGTCTGCACGGAAGAGCCGGCCCAAGGTAACCAACGGCAACGTCTGCCGCTCAGCCGTCGGCCAGGGGCTTCCGTCCTCGTCCTGCTGCTGTAATCGTAGCATCGTCAGTATTAGTATAACCGATGATTGGCAACTGTAGACACTTAACAGTGTAGTAGTGATGGGTTTGAGTCATGACTTCTGGAAGTAGAAGGAGGGCACAGTTTTGTGTTGCTAGAGATTGCCGAAGCTTTAAGTCAAGCGGTGCAGATACAGTTTTCAGCGAATTCCTCCCCACTGAGGGCTACCACCAATTCACCCGGCCGCCAGAGGCGTGGCTGAAGTTTGGTCCCCAAAGCCCCACACTGCAACTGAGATCCCAAACCCATGAATTTGCCACAGCCCCTACACTTTCCCTGAAACCCCGAAAAGTCCCGGAAGCCTGAAAGCCGGAAGTCGGCCTGGAAGGCCGATACCGAGGGCCTAGAGTCTAGCATTTTGAGACGCTTTGAGGGCTCTTAAAGCTCCCAGGGCGGGTTTGCCTTGCAATTGCAAGACCCACAGCCTTGCAGCCTGCTCTGCTCCGCTGAGCTATAGGATTTAGGGCTTCAGGTTAGGGCTTTTTGGTGGAGCTCGAAACCGCAGGCTCCAACCACCTACCATTCCTATGTATCCTGACCTAGAGGGTGTAAAGTTTAGGGTTTGGGGCTTCGGGCTTAGGATTTTGAGAACGTAGGGTTCAGGGGTTTCGGGTTGTGAGCTTTCCGGCTCGAGCCTTCCCCTCCATGACTGCATCTTTGCTTCTCAACCCTAAATCCTGTCGAAGTGCCAGGATGTGGGGATGCCTGGCCGTGGGCTGAGACTGAACCCTCAGGGTTGAGGGTTTTCTCGGAGGTTTTCGGGAGTTTGTGGGGGTGTGGGAAGCAAGAGAGCTGTGATCCTTTGAAATCGACACCCTGTGGTGCCTTCAGCCCGACTCAACCCCAAAGCCCAACTCCCATTCACTCCTGCCGCGAGTATCGGGTTTGAGGCAACGGCCTGGATGACTGGAGTGCGCCCCCGCCGGCCTGCCAGAAGGTTTTGCCAGATTGAGTTTGGGCTTCAGGGCTTGCGGGTTTCGCTGGATGCGGCAACCTTGCAAACTTTGTACATGGCTGTGACCGTGATGCTTGCAGCCGCTAACCAGCTAAGGTGGGCATGGACGGATCCCTCGCCGTTGACAGACTTGAACTTCAACGCCCCCCTGCCAGGACGGCCAGAGGGCCAGTGAGTGCCTGAAAACCACAGGGTTGAAGGGCTTGTTGGCGATTGTTATGGATGGAGATGCGGTTTTGGAGCTTCGAGCCTCGCAGTAGTCTGCTCTTCCCGGCTCCACGGATCTGACCAGGCTATGGTGTGGCAGATGGGCCAAGGCTGGAGAGTTCTACTCAACATGCTGCATACTACATCTGGGTACCTTGAACTGAGATTGAACTGCCTTGAACTTCCCGTTGAGAAGCATTTGCCTCCTCGAACCGTTGCGTGGTAGAGTGGTGTGCTTTGCAGGTGGAGGCCTACGTATTCTCTTCTCATGTCGGACCTGACTGTCGCCCCACCCCCCCCACGTTTCTTGAGGGGGCGAAACTGGTAAGAAGGCGCTACTTTGGGCAGTGTGGGAGGGATCGCGCCAAGGCGCTTGAGGCCCGAAGCCCCCAAAGCCTCTCGGAGGCCTTTCAATGGTGGTTGGCAGCCGTCAGCTCCTTGGGGCTGTTGGAGCAAGAGAAGCACTGTTGACATCACTTGACACATCTTGACACTGCGGCATATGATCCACATGGTCCAAAGAGTCTGAAGGCCACCGGGCTTGTCCTTGCTGGAGCCGCTTGGGTGCGAGCCGCAGCACAGACAGACACACGACTGGACCGGGTCTACTCGTGGTGAGATTCAGTGTACTCAGCCTCTTCACAAAAGAGAGAGAGCTGAAAGCAGTCCACGAGTCCCTAAAGCCAAAGGCGGGAACAGGTGCTGGAGCCCAGAAGTACTGGTCCATCATATTTAGAATCCCTAAAGCCCCAAGCCTAAAGATCCCACTGTGAAGATGCTGCTAGAAGGCAAGCCTCTTAAACAGAACTTGATGCAGGGTCCCAGTGATAGGTTTATTTTGTTCAGGTCGATGGCCCCTTTAGGAGCCTAGGTTGCCAAAGCCTTGTACCCGAAAGGCCCGCTGTGCATGAGCTTCCGGTGCAGATGCCCGCCGAGCAAGGGGCTTAAGACGCCTGGCAAAGCCCTGAAAGGAGCCCTAAAACCCCAGAAGCCTGGCGCCAGAAATCTGATAATGACACCAAAAGGCCGGAGGACGACGATGGCTTTTGGGCCGAGTCCCTGGGTGCACCCCTTGCACCCGTTGCCCCGGAGCTCCAAGAGAGCCGGGACCCCCAGCTCACAGCAGCGTTTCGGGCCTTCGGGGGATGTTTGGGGGTTCTGGCGTGATTCAGAAGTTCACAAGAGAACTTGCGGTTCTGCAAATCCGACGGTTCAGGACTCTGCCCGATTCAGGACGTACTTGTTTCCCGCGATTCGGGCACCACTATTCAGGAAACTGCCTAGTGCCTGATTCAGCAGCTCTTCCGGATGGATTTCGTGGAAGTGATGGGAGTGACCGGGAAGTGCGACTTCGCCTGCGAGGTCCGGTGCCCGAGTACGGAGCTGGTCAGCTCAGCGCTCCTCTCGTGCAGGAGCTTGCTGAAGGCACCTGGCCGGTGCCTGTTTCCGCTGTCTTCTTTTGTATAAGTTCCAGAAGTTTAGCCGGAGTCGGTCGTGGGCAGCTTGTGGCAACTTTTTGGTTTCTGATGCGTGGTGACCTGCGCTTCACGTTGAGCTGGGATCGTGGATCTTGAGCCCCTGAGCCCCTTCAGAAAGTCTCTCGCCGTGATGGGAAGGCGCACCTGCGAGACCTGTCGAGCCGAGCGAAGCTCCTGACCAGCCAGTTGATGGCGCCGGTGGCG